AGTACAAGAAAACACTTCAAAAGTAACGTTTCTGAAGAATTTTAACAGTTTTCTTGTATCTACGAACGCCAGAATGCATAAAATTGACCTAAACGTCTCCTTTTCCTATTCTGAGTCGATTCTGCATGCTTTAAGTGTGTTTGGTGGCTCAGAACCATCAAAAAACGTTGAAATATAGTTCAAATTCAATAAAAATCGACAAAAATACAGTTTCTAGCTAAAATTTGATGGTTTCGTTGCACTTTCCGAGCCCGTAGGGTATCTGATTGGCTTAAAAGTACAAGAAAACACTTCAAAAGTGACGTTTCTGAAGAATTTTAACAGTTTTCTTGTATCTACGAACGCCAGAATGCATAAAATTGACCTAAACGTCTCCTTTTCCTATTCTGAGTCGATTCTGCATGCTTTAAGTGTGTTTGGTGGCTCAGAACCATCAAAAAACGTTGAAATATTGTTCAAATTCAATAAAAATCGACAAAAATACAGTTTCTAGCTAAAATTTGATGGTTTCGTTGCACTTTTCGAGCCCGTAGGGTATCTGATTGGCTTAAAAGTACAAGAAAACACTTCAAAAGTGACGTTTCTGAAGAATTTTAACAGTTTTCTTGTATCTACGAACGCCAGAATGCATAAAATTGACCTAAACGTCTCCTTTTCCTATTCTGAGTCGATTCTGCATGCTTGAAGTGTGTTTGGTGGCTCAGAACCATCAAAAAACGTTGAAATATAGTTCAAATTCAATAAAAATCGACAAAAATACAGTTTCTAGCTAAAATTTGATGGTTTCGTTGCACTTTCCGAGCCCGTAGGGTATCTGATTGGCTTAAAAGTACAAGAAAACACTTCAAAAGTGACGTTTCTGAAGAATTTTAACAGTTTTCTTGTATCTACGAACGCCAGAATGCATAAAATTGACCTAAACGTCTCCTTTTCCTATTCTGAGTCGATTCTGCATGCTTTAAGTGTGTTTGGTGGCTCAGAACCATCAAAAAACGTTGAAATATAGTTCAAATTCAATAAAAATCGACAAAAATACAGTTTCTAGCTAAAATTTGATGGTTTCGTTGCACTTTCCGAGCCCGTAGGGTATCTGATTGGCTTAAAAGTACAAGAAAACACTTCAAAAGTGACGTTTCTGAAGAATTTTAACAGTTTTCTTGTATCTACGAACGCCAGAATGCATAAAATTGACCTAAACGTCTCCTTTTCCTATTCTGAGTCGATTCTGCATGCTTTAAGTGTGTTTGGTGGCTCAGAACCATCAAAAAACGTTGAAATATAGTTCAAATTCAATAAAAATCGACAAAAATACAGTTTCTAGCTAAAATTTGATGGTTTCGTTGCACTTTCCGAGCCCGTAGGTTATCTGATTGGCTTAAAAGTACAAGAAAACACTTCAAAAGTGACGTTTCAGAAGAATTTTAACAGTTTTCTTGTATCTACGAACGCCAGAATGCATAAAATTGACCTAAACGTCTCCTTTTCCTATTCTGAGTCGATTCTGCATGCTTTAAGTGTGTTTGGTGGCTCAGAACCATCAAAAAACGTTGAAATATAGATCAAATTCAATAAAAATCGACAAAAATACAGTTTCTAGCTAAAATTTGATGGTTTCGTTGCACTTTCCGAGCCCGTAGGGTATCTGATTGGCTTAAAAGTACAAGAAAACACTTCAAAAGTGACGTTTCTGAAGAATTTTAACAGTTTTCTTGTATCTACGAACGCCAGAATGCATAAAATTGACCTAAACGTCTCCTTTTCCTATTCTGAGTCGATTCTGCATGCTTTAAGTGTGTTTGGTGGCTCAGAACCATCAAAAAACGTTGAAATATAGTTCAAATTCAATAAAAATCGACAAAAATACAGTTTCTAGCTAAAATTTGATGGTTTCGTTGCACTTTCCGAGCCCGTAGGGTATCTGATTGGCTTAAAAGTACAAGAAAACTCTTCAAAAGTGACGTTTCTGAAGAATTTTAACAGTTTTCTTGTATCTACGAACGCCAGAATGCATAAAATTGACCTAAATGTCTCCTTTTCCTATTCTGAGTCGATTCTGCATGCTTTAAGTGTGTTTGGTGGCTCAGAACCATCAAAAAACGTTGAAATATAGTTCAAATTCAATAAAAATCGACAAAAATACAGTTTCTAGCTAAAATTTGATGGTTTCGTTGCACTTTCCGAGCCCGTAGGGTATCTGATTGGCTTAAAAGTACAAGAAAACACTTCAAAAGTGACGTTTCTGAAGAATTTTAACAGTTTTCTTGTATCTACGAACGCCAGAATGCATAAAATTGACCTAAACGTCTCCTTTTCCTATTCTGAGTCGATTCTGCATGCTTTAAGTGTGTTTGGTGGCTCAGAACCATCAAAAAACGTTGAAATATAGTTCAAATTCAATAAAAATCGACAAAAATACAGTTTCTAGCTAAAATTTGATGGTTTCGTTGCACTTTCCGAGCCCATAGGGTATCTGATTGGCTTAAAAGTACAAGAAAACACTTCAAAAGTGACGTTTCTGAAGAATTTTAACAGTTTTCTTGTATCTACGAACGCCAGAATGCATAAAATTGACCTAAACGTCTCCTTTTCCTATTCTGAGTCGATTCTGCATGCTTTAAGTGTGTTTGGTGGCTCAGAACCATCAAAAAACGTTGAAATATAGTTCAAATTCAATAAAAATCGACAAAAATACAGTTTCTAGCTAAAATTTGATGGTTTCGTTGCACTTTCCGAGCCCGTAGGGTATCTGATTGGCTTAAAAGTACAAGAAAACACTTCAAAAGTGACGTTTCTGAAGAATTTTAACAGTTTTCTTGTATCTACGAACGCCAGAATGCATAAAATTGACCTAAACGTCTCCTTTTCCTATTCTGAGTCGATTCTGCATGCTTTAAGTGTGTTTGGTGGCTCAGAACCATCAAAAAACGTTGAAATATAGTTCAAATTCAATAAAAATCGACAAAAATACAGTTTCTAGCTAAAATTTGATGGTTTCGTTGCACTTTCCGAGCCCGTAGGGTATCTGATTGGCTTAAAAGTACAAGAAAACACTTCAAAAGTGACGTTTCTGAAGAATTTTAACAGTTTTCTTGTATCTACGAACGCCAGAATGCATAAAATTGACCTAAACGTCTCCTTTTCCTATTCTGAGTCGATTCTGCATGCTTTAAGTGTGTTTGGTGGCTCAGAACCATAAAAAAACGTTGAAATATAGTTCAAATTCAATAAAAATCGACAAAAATACAGTTTCTAGCTAAAATTTGATGGTTTCGTTGCACTTTCCGAGCCCGTAGGGTATCTGATTGGCTTAAAAGTACAAGAAAACACTTCAAAAGTGACGTTTCTGAAGAATTTTAACAGTTTTCTTGTATCTACGAACGCCAGAATGCATAAAATTGACCTAAACGTCTCCTTTTCCTATTCTGAGTCGATTCTGCATGCTTTAAGTGTGTTTGGTGGCTCAGAACCATCAAAAAACGTTGAAATATAGTTCAAATTCAATAAAAATCGACAAAAATACAGTTTCTAGCTAAAATTTGATGGTTTCGTTGCACTTTCCGAGCCCATAGGGTATCTGATTGGCTTAAAAGTACAAGAAAACACTTCAAAAGTGACGTTTCTGAAGAATTTTAACAGTTTTCTTGTATCTACGAACGCCAGAATGCATAAAATTGACCTAAACGTCTCCTTTTCCTATTCTGAGTCGATTCTGCATGCTTTAAGTGTGTTTGGTGGCTCAGAACCATCAAAAAACGTTGAAATATAGTTCAAATTCAATAAAAATCGACAAAAATACAGTTTCTAGCTAAAATTTGATGGTTTCGTTGCACTTTCCGAGCCCGTAGGGTATCTGATTGGCTTAAAAGTACAAGAAAACACTTCAAAAGTGACGTTTCTGAAGAATTTTAACAGTTTTCTTGTATCTACGAACGCCAGAATGCATAAAATTGACCTAAACGTCTCCTTTTCCTATTCTGAGTCGATTCTGCATGCTTTAAGTGTGTTTGGTGGCTCAGAACCATCAAAAAACGTTGAAATATAGTTCAAATTCAATAAAAATCGACAAAAATACAGTTTCTAGCTAAAATTTGATGGTTTCGTTGCACTTTCCGAGCCCGTAGGGTATCTGATTGGCTTAAAAGTACAAGAAAACACTTCAAAAGTGACGTTTCTGAAGAATTTTAACAGTTTTCTTGTATCTACGAACGCCAGAATGCATAAAATTGACCTAAACGTCTCCTTTTCCTATTCTGAGTCGATTCTGCATGCTTTAAGTGTGTTTGGTGGCTCAGAACCATAAAAAAACGTTGAAATATAGTTCAAATTCAATAAAAATCGACAAAAATACAGTTTCTAGCTAAAATTTGATGGTTTCGTTGCACTTTCCGAGCCCGTAGGGTATCTGATTGGCTTAAAAGTACAAGAAAACACTTCAAAAGTGACGTTTCTGAAGAATTTTAACAGTTTTCTTGTATCTACGAACGCCAGAATGCATAAAATTGACCTAAATGTCTCCTTTTCCTATTCTGAGTCGATTCTGCATGCTTTAAGTGTGTTTGGTGGCTCAGAACCATCAAAGAACGTTGAAATATAGTTCAAATTCAATAAAAATCGACAAAAATACAGTTTCTAGCTAAAATTTGATGGTTTCGTTGCACTTTCCGAGCCCGTAGGGTATCTGATTGGCTTAAAAGTACAAGAAAACACTTCAAAAGTGACGTTTCTGAAGAATTTTAACAGTTTTCTTGTATCTTTTTTTTTGTTGCGCGTGCGTTTGTGCCATATGTCAGGTTTGTTACAATGTCCATAGTTATTTACATATTTAGAGAGGAAAATTCTCTCCTTTTGTTGTAAATCTGTTATATTTTGTTCTACAGGCGTTGCTTATTAAGCCGAGCAGTCTTTTGAGCTGCTTGATTTAAATTTTACGCTTTTACATAGCCCTTTGTGTTCTAAAAGTTTTTTGTTTACGAGTTTTGTTAGTTTAGTGGCCGCACGAGGTCGCTTTTGGCGACGTCAGCGGCCGCCATCGTTGTTGACTTTTCTTTGTTTATTTTCATCTTAATTTTTGGCAGTGATTTCTCCTTATTCTGTCTGTCAGATGTCGTCCACTGAAAATTCACCCTCTTCTGAGATTAAAGACTTTCCAGTCTCTGAATGCTGTCCTGTGTGTATGGCTCCAGTCGAAAAAGCGATTGCTTTTATTTGCGATGGGTGTGGTCGCTCTGTTCACTTTTCGTGTTTGGGGTTATTATCTCAAGATAAATCTACTTGTGAGAGGCTTCGACGGTATTCTTCACAGGTAAAATTTCTTTGTGCGGATTGTAATGGCGTGTTTAGAGTTCCGATGTACAACTACTTTATTGATTCACCTAATTCTGTAGCATCTAATGTGACAACTATCTTGCAGAATCCTGAGATGCAATCGATTATTCGAAACGTTATTGCGTTGGAAAACGAGAAAACGCTATTGGAGGTTACAAAATTAAGAAGGGAGATGGAAGAATTGAAACAATCTAATATAGAATTAGTGAGGTTATTAACCGACAATCCAAGTAAAGCTGCAGTGATCCATGGTAGTAGTGCTGCAATTCCTGTAGCTATTGCAGACACGATTAAACCCACTGATACATATGCAAATAAATTGAGTTCCGCAACGCAAGCCAAAGTAATGATTAAACCAAAAGTTGCGCAGAAAGCTTTCCAAACACAAGAAGACCTGTTGCGGAATGTAGATTTATTGAATGAAAATATCTCTGTCACAAATTCCAAAAAAGCTAAGGATGGAGCTATCATCGTAGGATGTAATAATATTGAAAATTCAAAAAAACTAAAACAACTTGCAGCAGATAAACTATCGACTGATTACGATGTTTTTGTTCTTAGATCAGAACACCCTCGTGTTAGAATCGTCGGAATTCCTTCTTGTCTAAATAAGGAGTCTTTTATGAATTATTTAAAATCCCAAAACTCTGATTTGTTAGCAGATGCAACTGAATATAGGCTTCTAAATTTCTGGCCCCTAAAAAAGAACAAAAAAATACTTCAGGCAACTGTTCAGCTGGATATACATACATACAAGAAAGTTATGAAAGCTGGTGGATTACTTGTAGGCATAAATATTTGCAAATTGTATGATGATACGACGGTAACACGTTGCTTTAAATGCAATGGGTTCAATCATACTAAAACTAAGTGCCCCAGACCAGTTATCTGTCCTTTATGTGCAGGTGAGCACCAGGTAAATACTTGTCACTCAGTTGCTAAGGTTTGTATTAACTGTAGAAGTCTCAAACATATGCATGGGTTTGACATTAGTGTTGACCATCCGGCCTGGGACTATAAGAGTTGTTTTGCGTTTAAATTTGCCGAAGCTAAACTTCGTAATGTGGTATTTGGTGAACCAGTTCGCATAGATATTAGAAAAATTCCTAATTTCAAGCCTACAGATGTTCAAAGTGTCCCAAGTACGAGCTCAGGACTCCAATCTCAGTCTCCTGGGAACGTGAATGTCACGCCTTCTGTTCAAGTGTTTAATCGTTTTGAACCTCTGTCAGATTTTAAAAGCAATTTTTTAGATCGTCCTTAGATGCGGCCAATGTAAGTAACATAACTTCAAAGTCTACTAAATCACCTACAACCTTTCCCAGCAATAGCAAAACTTTCTTTGTTTATTATCAGAACACTCGCAGCATTAGATCACGTGTTAATGACATTTACTCCAATTTAACGTCTAATGTATTTGATATAATATGTATTACAGAATCATGGCTTGATCCATCGATCAATAACAGTGAATTTATTCCGCCAAATTACATTGCATTTCGTTCAGACAGAGACTTCAATAGATCCAATCGTCAAAGCGGCGGGGGAGTTGTTCTGGCTGTTAATGCTCAGTTCAACGTTAAATGCCTGAACATGTCGACATTTAAGGATTTTTTTCTGTGTGATATCATAGGTTGTAAGTTATTTTGTCAAGAAGGTAATTTGCACATATTTGTAGTTTACATACCGCCTGATCTTTCTGTAACTGATTTTGTGTTATTTATAGAATGCTTTGAAAGCTACGCCATTGAGCTTTCTAATATATTTTTAATTGGGGACTTCAATTCTCCAAGTTTTTCCAGTAATAAGAATGATACAAAATCAAGTTCTCTTAGTAATATGGCTTCACTTTTAAACTTAACACAGCTTAATTCTATTCCAAATTCCGATGGTCGCCTTTTAGACTTAGTTTTTAGTACCTCAACTCACTGTACTGTTAGTCGTGATTTATGTCCATTAATTGCGGAAGACATGCACCATCCGGCGTTAAATATTAATCTCCAATTAAAAAAAGTTTCTTACATCAATTTCGCTGCATGTAATATGGCCAAATTGTACAATTTTAAAAAAGCGAATTTTCTTTTATTGTACCAGGATATTTTCAACGCTGATTGGAGTTATTTGTATAGAATCACTGATGTAAACCAAGCTTGTGAGCATTTTTATAGCGTATTGTATGATATAATTGACAAGCATGTGCCTTTGTTTAAGTGTAAAAGGTTTCGTTACCCTAACTGGTACTCGGCAGAACTCAGAAGTATGCTTAAACTAAAACGTAAGTTCTTTAAATGCCACAAACAGTTACCATCCGGTGAAGCATATTTAAATTTTTCTTATATACGGCGTGACGTCAAACGGTTAATTCGTCGGGATTTCAATAATTATATTATTAAAGCGCAAAATTCATTGTTAAGTAATCCAAAATATTTTTGGACGTTTATAAAAGAAAAACGAGGTCGTTCTTCTATTCCAAGCTCCGTACATTTTGACAACAGTGAGTATGACCGTCCACAGGACATTGTTAATATGTTTGCCCATTATTTTTCCTCGATTTTTGACTTACCTGAAACCAACCAATTGCAAGGTAATACATTTGTTAGTAATAGCAGCAACTTGCCGTTCCATATCCAGATTTTTGATGACGATGTGCTTGCAGCTATCAGTAAAATAAAAAACACTTGTTCCGCTGGCATCGACCAAGTCCCTTCTTTTCTGATAAAAGACTGTTCAGCTGCCTTTCTTAAACCTTTGTGTTATTTGTTTAACCTAAGCCTTAATAATTCTTGCTTCCCCAATATGTGGAAGATCGCTAAAATTGTACCAGTATACAAATCAGGAGATATATCCGATGTGCGCAGTTACCGCCCCATTTCAATTTTATCCTGCTTCTCCAAAGTTTATGAAAGTATTTTATATCGACAAATTTATTTCAATATTAAGGAACTAATCTCTATACACCAGCACGGCTTTTCTTCAGGAAGATCAACTCATACGAACTTAATGTGTATGTCCCAAATAATATCAGATACGCTAGATCACAGTGGCCAGCTTGACGTTATATATACGGATCTGTCGAAAGCTTTCGACAAAATTAATCACCAAATTTTGCTTTGTAAGTTGTCTGCTATGGGTTTCTCTGATTCCTTAATAAAACTATTTTATTCTTATCTGTCTTCGAGGGTAAATTGTGTTGTGTATAATGGTTTTAAGTCTAATTCTTATGCTTCATTCTCAGGTGTCCCGCAGGGCTCCATACTCGGTCCACTTTGTTTCATAATTTACTTAAACGATGTTGTGGATATCATCCAGAACTCCCAAATTCTTATTTATGCAGATGACATCAAAATATTTCATAAAATTGGCAACGTGGATGACTGCTTAATGCTCCAAAATGACATAAACAAACTAAAGGATTGGTGTTTACTGAATAAACTGCCATTGAATATTGATAAATGCAAGGTTGTTTCCTTCACGCTGTCTTACAATCCTTGTCAATTTGATTATCATATTGGTAATAGTATTCTTCAACGAACTACAAATATAAAAGATCTTGGTGTGCATTATGACTCGAAATTTTCTTTTAAAGAACATGTCACTAACATTGTAGGTAAGGCTGGTAAGATGTTTGGGTTTATTGTACGAAATTGTAAAGGTTTTAATAACGTGTTACCCTTAATTCAACTTTTTAATTCACTGGTGAGATCTAGGTTAGAATATTGCTCCACGGCTTGGTTCCCATATTATGATTATCAGATAAGGCTGCTAGAGAACGTTCAAAGGAAATTTTTAAAGTATTTATATTTCAAGGATGAAGGAGTGTGGCCAGTTAGAAATTACCCACATGTAGTATTATTAGAGCGATACAAACTTAATACATTGCAGTGCAGAAGAGTTGTCAGCGCACTTATTTTCTTGCATAAACTTCTGAATAATAAAATTGACTGTGGTGAGTTTCTTTCTGGCCTAAAATTTTATGTGCCGAGATTAAATAATCGATATTCAGTAACGCTTTATTCCAGTACACCACGCACAAATATTGGTAGAAGAGCTCCACTATATGTGATCAGCATGTATACGAACAAAATGGAGAGAAATAGCGATTGTGATATCTTCAGCTGCTCGACCAGAGAACTGAAAACTGCAATCTGTGACAAGCTAAATTTATGAAATATGTAACTGTCAATTTCTGCTTATGTTAAATGTAATTGTGATAGTAAGTTTTGGGAATATTTGCCAATTATTAGTTAGACTAAAATTGTGTTATGTTTTGCTGAAATTGTCCTGTAACTGGAAAATATTCTGTAGGACAATTAAATATTTATTTATTTATTTATTTATTTATTTATTTATCTACGAACGCCAGAATGCATAAAATTGACCTAAACGTCTCCTTTTCCTATTCTGAGTCGATTCTGCATGCTTTAAGTGTGTTTGGTGGCTCAGAACCATCAAAAAACGTTGAAATATAGTTCAAATTCAATAAAAATCGACAAAAATACAGTTTCTAGCTAAAATTTGATGGTTTCGTTGCACTTTCCGAGCCCATAGGGTATCTGATTGGCTTAAAAGTACAAGAAAACACTTCAAAAGTGACGTTTCTGAAGAATTTTAACAGTTTTCTTGTATCTACGAACGCCAGAATGCATAAAATTGACCTAAACGTCTCCTTTTCCTATTCTGAGTCGATTCTGCATGCTTTAAGTGTGTTTGGTGGCTCAGAACCATCAAAAAACGTTGAAATATAGTTCAAATTCAATAAAAATCGACAAAAATACAGTTTCTAGCTAAAATTTGATGGTTTCGTTGCACTTTCCGAGCCCGTAGGGTATCTGATTGGCTTAAAAGTACAAGAAAACACTTCAAAAGTGACGTTTCTGAAGAATTTTAACAGTTTTCTTGTATCTACGAACGCCAGAATGCATAAAATTGACCTAAACGTCTCCTTTTCCTATTCTGAGTCGATTCTGCATGCTTTAAGTGTGTTTGGTGGCTCAGAACCATCAAAGAACGTTGAAATATAGTTCAAATTCAATAAAAATCGACAAAAATACAGTTTCTAGCTAAAATTTGATGGTTTCGTTGCACTTTCCGAGCCCGTAGGGTATCTGATTGGCTTAAAAGTACAAGAAAACACTTCAAAAGTGACGTTTCTAAAGAATTTTAACAGTTTTCTTGTATCTACGAACGCCAGAATGCATAAAATTGACCTAAACGTCTCCTTTTCCTATTCTGAGTCGATTCTGCATGCTTTAAGTGTGTTTGATGGCTCAGAACCATCAAAAAACGTTGAAATATAGTTCAAATTCAATAAAAATCGACAAAAATACAGTTTCTAGCTAAAATTTGATGGTTTCGTTGCACTTTCCGAGCCCGTAGGGTATCTGATTGGCTTAAAAGTACAAGAAAACACTTCAAAAGTGACGTTTCTGAAGAATTTTAACAGTTTTCTTGTATCTACGAACGCCAGAATGCATAAAATTGACCTAAACGTCTCCTTTTCCTATTCTGAGTCGATTCTGCATGCTTTAAGTGTGTTTGGTGGCTCAGAACCATCAAAAAACGTTGAAATATAGTTGAAATTAAATAAAAATCGACAAAAATACAGTTTCTAGCTAAAATTTGATGGTTTCGTTGCACTTTCCGAGCCCGTAGGGTATCTGATTGGCTTAAAAGTACAAGAAAACACTTCAAAAGTGACGTTTCTGAAGAATTTTAACAGTTTTCTTGTATCTACGAACGCCAGAATGCATAAAATTGACCTAAACGTCTCCTTTTCCTATTCTGAGTCGATTCTGCATGCTTTAAGTGTGTTTGGTGGCTCAGAACCATCAAAAAACGTTGAAATATAGTTCAAATTCAATAAAAATCGACAAAAATACAGTTTCTAGCTAAAATTTGATGGTTTCGTTGCACTTTCCGA